CTACAAGTAAATTGATTGGTTCCCTGTATTAGAAGGGAGGCACACTGATTGGTGATTTTAAGTGACACAAATTACGAGATGATCACAAGACAGGACAAAAGTCCTTTTTTCAAAAACACTTGATGCAAATCAGAGATTATGTGAAAGAAATGGTTATTTTTTTTATCACAGGTTGTTGGGGTAATGTTCTTGCTCATTTGAGAAGTGAGCATTTGGAATACAAAGATAACCATGTACATTTCTGTTACATTTCACTCTGTGGTGCTACTGGTTAGAAATATGTTTGATGGCTGCACACAAGAAACTAAGGTATAATGGAATCTTCCATGCTTTTAACTATTCATGAATATCTACATGTATATTACATACCTGATATATTAGCTTCCATTCACTTACATTGTGAATTCAAATTTACACAGATTAATAAATATAATAGCCATTTCAAATATTTTTATTGTATTTTCTATGTCATATTTTACTTACTGAATAAGGCAGAGACACACATGCCTGACATTATTTAAATTATTAATTTAAATCATTTAAATACACAATGTGTTTTTGGCATGAACAAGTCTTAAAATTATTATAACATACATACCTTGAAAAACTATTATGCACCTGTTTGATTGTTTCCGAATTACTTAAAGAGAGTCCTTTCATCTGGGGAAATAATAGTTATCATTATACATATGTCACCGTAACACCATAAGTTACAGCGTGCTGTAATTTTACGGTATTTTACAAGGTATTTTCATCCTACCATATTAGGAAATGCAAATTCCAAATATGTAATGATTACACGCGCAAGCATCCTCTAATAATAAAAACAAACACGGCTGCCACCAGGCTGTGACCGGACTCCACACAAAGAAGTTCGCTGATTCTGTTCTAAACATTTTGAATTTCGGCATTCCCATGGTGTATAATAGTTCCCAAGATGTATAATAATAAGGTTATTACGAGGAAACCTCAAAGTATGCACTCAGACAGTAGCCGTTTGCATCAACCTCTCGCTGTACTGCCTTTGTGCATACTTTGAGGTATTCTCGTAATAACCTCATATTATGTCATGTTTAGGGTTATTATCTCTAATTCATAATTTTGGAAAATATTCTCAACTCACTCAAAATATTCATTTGGTTAAAAAGTACTATATTTTGCAAAAATTGGCCAATAACATTGAATCCATTTTGATAAATTTTGCCTCTAGTGATGAAGCACAAGTTACATTGAAAAAGGTGACATGCTGTTGAAAGCATCCATATCATTTTCATCTGAAGTCATCCATCAAAGACTATATTTTTTAGAGATTTTACTATACAGTCAAACACAGTGGTCGATACATTGCACATCATTTTGACAAACAAGAAGTGCTCCATCACTAGAGTGTGCGCATATTAGAAATGGAGGATAACATATTCCAATTCAGACAAGTTTTTGGAGTTTTACTAAAACAGTCACATACTGTAAAATACTTTATTTTCACTTGGAAATAATTTTCGCTGAAGAAATGATTCAGTGAAAAAAAAATCCATTTAATATACCCTTTTTCCAATATTTTACATTCAACTGGACAAAAATCAGTGAAAATAAATTCCACACCAAACACCTAAAAAGTCTTTTCAGCGAAAATTAATTCCAGCTAAAATAAAGTATATTACAGTATATAGTTGTTATTATTGTTCTATTATTATTGAAATAAGGCAAACCCTGGGGACTGAATATGAAGAGGGTGACATCATATTTGCTACGTTCACACGGCAGCATTTTATCGGAGCCCAAAGGCTCGAGCCAGCAAAAATGGCCGTGTGAACGCGTTCGGCTCGAGCCGACTCGAGCCAAGTTCGGCTCACTAAACCCGGCATGGCTCCG